CTATGGGGGGGGGAACAATTGTAATAATCTGAACAATAAAGAGTTAATTAAAAAAATAAAATAAATTTAAAAGATAAATAAATAAGTAAAAATAAAAATAAAAATCAATGGAAAATATATCTTCGGGTGAAGATTAACCAAAAAAAGAGAAAGTATCATAGTAAGTAGGTCAAATGATAAGACCACTTAGTCATCAGACAGAACATGCTGAAGATAAAAATGTTGACAGAGCAGAACTTTGTTTTTAGCTCTGCTGCCCTTTCCCTAGATGAGGGGGCTGCCCCTGTCTCCCAACCTTCATTACAGGTTGCAGTTATGAGTATAAACTAAAGAATATCAAGAAAGCTCTCTGAGCAATCTTTAAAGTTTTGGCACAACTTGGTATAGAACAGATAAAGTTCATCAACAACATTCACTGCATTAGAAAAATGTATACCACATGCTTTGAACTGTTTGCAAGAAAAGAATATTCCCACATGGGGAATTGTGGAAGGCAAACTTAAAAATCTAACAGTAGTTATGACTGGTGGTAGGTAGAATTAAGGATGATTTTCCTTTTCATATTTGTTTTTTTTATTACAATTAATGTATATTATATAATAAAGTTTGTCAAAGGTCAATACACATTCAATGTAAACACTGAGTAACTATTTATTAGCTGGTGAGCAAGCAAACTGGGTAAGGAACAAACATTGGCAGCCCAACACGTAAACCCATTTACATGCATTCTGTACAACAGGCAGGGCAAGTATTTAATCCTTGTTTTAGAAAAGGGGGAGGTTGAAGCAAGAGAGAAGTAATCTGCCCAGATCCCCGGCCTGGCCCAGCCCAGGAGCCAGGCCTTCTGAATTCCTAGCCCAGCCTTCTGCTATGTGCTTCTGCATCTCAAGATTATTCTTTTTTGCTGTTGTTAATCCTCACTGGAGGATGTTTTTCCATTGTTGTTGTTTTTTTGTAGTTGTTGTTTGTTTGTTTTGTAGGTATAATGTAGAGATGGGGAGAGACAGAGAAAAGGAGAGAAACATCGATGTGAGAGACACACATCAGTTGGTTGCCTCCCCACTGCCCTACCAGGCCGGGGATCAAGCCTGCAACCGAGATACGTGCCCTTGAAAGAATCAAACAAGGATCCTTCAGGGCGTGGTCTGATGCTCCACCCACTGAGCCAAACCGGCTAGGGCTCAAGATTCCTCTTAATGAAGCACGTGCCCAGTTTTATACTCCGTGGCCGAAACCTGAAATAACCTTTTAAGCACCAAAGGCGGGACTAAGGCTGAGTCCTGGCCACTTGCACTCCTCACATCAGACCCGGCCTGGGCCCTGAGTGTGCTGTTCTAAAATCAGCCTTCCTGTGACAGAAGCCAGGCCTGCCATTCTGAGATAAAAGGAAGAACAGTGGCACGTAGGGACTCAGGGCAGAGAGTCTGTGAGGCTGACCCCTGCCTCCGGTGCCGTGGCATCGCTGACTCATTCCTCGCCTGCTGGGCCAGTCTCCTGAGCCACCACCCGTCAGACAAAGTGCTTGGTCCTGGGAGGGCAGCAGAGACAGGACAAGGCCTCTGTCCTCACAGAACATGCAGCCAGCTAAGATATGAACCACCTCTGCCTAAGAAACCATCCTTAGCACCCTGCCTAACCCAGGCCTAAAACTCAAAACAGTGGGTTTTCCCCCAATAAGTGAAGAAACAGGAAGCGTGAGGCTGGTGAAAATTAAAAACCTAAGAAGGCCTCCAGCCTGTGCTTCTCCAATTGGACTGTCCATCCATACCGCCCGGGGGGCTTGTTAGAATGCAGATTCTGAATGGGTAGGCCTGGGGTAGGGCCCGCGACTGCACTTCTGACCAGCTTCAGTGCCACGCAGGACTCCTGGAGCAGGCCTCCTCACCAACCCTGGCCAGCGCCAGTCCACGTCTGCCCGGAAGCCAGAGTCCCCACCCTGCCCTGTCCCTCCGCGGTCTCTGCCCCAGAACTCCATCCCGATCTGTACATTGAGTTGGTGCCAGATTCAGGTTTCTTTCGCTCCACTGCAGGGCCAGGGATGGATGGTCACTACAGTAGGTGTCCCAGGTTTGTTTTAAAGATTATCCTTAAATGGTGAATGGAGTGGATCGGAGACATGGAAGCGTGGAACAGAGGGTGGAATCTCGGAGGGAAGGTGGGTGGATGAATGGATGGGTGGGAGGTAATCAACCAAAGACCTTGTAGGTATATATGTATAACCCATGGACACAGACAGTGGGGTGGTGAGGGCAGGGTGGTGGGGGAGGGGGGGGCTGGAGTGGGTTGATGACAGAAAAAAAGAGGACATATGTAATACTTTCAACAATAAAGATTTAAAAAAAGATTATCCTTAAATGGCCAAGAGTTCTTGTCTGTTGGTTTTTGTTTTTAGTATGGCGGGTAACAGACATCAAAGAACAGAGAGATGAGGGCATAGACAGGCGCAGAAGCCCCGGCCTGTTCACGTGACCCACACACCCGACGGAAGCTCTCCCAAGCCCGCTATACCTGCCCAGGCCTCACTGTGGGGCTCGGAGGGAACAACAGAAGGTACAATTATACAAACAACAAAAAAAGAAGCATCGGTAAGGTCAGGCAAGAGAGAGCCAAGAAGCAAAAGCACACCCCTGCCCCCAGAGCTCCCCAGTTGCCCCCACCGGGAGGGGT